AATATAATCCAGGAACTTCATCAGTATGTCTAGACCGACGTTTGCTTGTAGTTTTTGGTGTCCAAAACCTTTTTTCCACACATTGCACAGATGCCTAAAATAAAAGAAAGTATGTAAGCAATCAAATCTTAACACCAGTGGTTTGGTTTATTTAAATCAATTCTAATGCTCAAAACAATTTATACAGCATCACAAAAGTGAAAAAGAAATTTCTAATTTTAATGTGTATAGTTTTAAGAAGTTCTAAGTTTCATTTTAGGGGAGCGCTGGTGGCCTAGTGGTAAGAACTGGCGCTGCAATCCCAAAGGCGCACAGTTCGATCCACGGGAGAAGGATGGGCACTCTCCTCTCATGCAATTATTACCTCTGAAAACCCACCAGAAGGTCAGCTATGGGTCAGTTCCAACGCAATGGTACTCAACAAGAAGTGTGATTTTACCTTCAAAGAAAGGGACTTGACTAATGGGATTTAAGAAGGTCTATTCTTTTCATGTTATCCAGATCGGCATAAGATGAGCAAGCTTGATAAATCAGAAAGAAGAAAATAAGAGAAACATACCCTTTTTGTAGGCGCAGCCCTGACAGTAATGGGAACCAGGCTGGTGCACAGAACTTTTGCAGATTCTACAAGTGGAGAACTTATTCTTTCCATATGGATCAAATCTAGAGATTTTGGAAAACAGAAAGAAGAATGTGAAATGGGAATGAAGTTCTCTCCACACATTCATGGGATGAATGGATCTTCTCTGTGTCCTCTCTCAAATCCACAGGGGACAGGCCCCACTTTCCAGCTGATAGGTGATGCTCATATATGTTGGCCTCTCTCAGCTCCTTCCAGCCAAGCTGTGTGCTCGTGAAGAGTCAGGTGTGTTTCCCCTCAAACCCATTCGTGCCACTTGTGTTTGTCATTCTGGTTGGGCAACATAATTGAAGGTGGCAATTCTCTGGTGGTTCAAAGCCACAAACTGCCCTGAGACAGAAAGATGGGCCATCTCCTCCCATGTGGTTTTCAGCCTCTGAAAACCCACTCGGGTCAGGAAGGAGTCAGTTCCAACTTAATGGCAATGAGCTGACAGGAGCTCTGCACTTACCTTGCTTTTTTTGAAGTCAGAGCTTTGTTTTCATTCAGCCTTCTTCCACCACTTTCTAAATCAAAACACATATATTTTGGTTAGCTATTTTTTTTCTTTTTTAAAGGTTAACTGTCTATTATAATGTAAAAATGAATTCATAGCAATATTAAAATCTTAATTTTGTTTATTTTTTTAAATTCTTAATTTTTTTTTCATTTTTTTTTTTTTTTTTTCTT